CCTGGCCCGCTGCCATGTACGCCTTCCCCACGAGCGTGGATGTGGTGCGACATGGTTTGGATGGTAACGCCGGCTTCTCCAGGGAGGACGCAAGTCGAGGGGAGAGATAGCTCGCAAGCGCATCCTCCACCCGAGGCATCCTCCCATAACCACGGTCCCTAACCCCCATCACATTACTGTAGTTCAGTGATCGGGGTGTGGAAAGCCATGTAGAGAAGGGTCTGCCCCATGATTACTCAGTTCATCATGTAAATCAGGAAAGAATGGCAGAGACCGGCGTGGAGGTGGCGTGTGGTGCTTAAGAAACCTTTCATCCAGCTTACCACTAGCCTGTGGTGTCTGCTCCTCCTGTGGCCAGTTGATGTTGAGCTTAGCCACGGCTCTAGTCACCACCTCCAGCAGCACGTCATAGTCGGGCGCCGCCAGATGACGCCGCCCCGACACCCGGAAGTCATCGTCCACTACGCTGAGCACGTCCGCCTCCTCGGAGTCGGATTGCTGCAGAGTCTCCGGATCCAAACCGCGAGCGGGAGAAGCCGAGAACGGGCTCCCGAACGAGGAAAGGAAGCGTCGGAGCCAGCGGATGAAGGTCGGGAAAAAGCCTCAGCCGTCCCGAAATCCTCCGACAGATCACGCTGTGAACCCCATGAGTGAAGCCGCCGGGCCGCCTCAGTGGCCGCAGGGCCCGCACCACGGGGAAAACACATCCGGCCATCCTCGGAAAAGAGAGCCATGCTGTACCTCAGTACCCGCACGGAAAGGGCTTTGCAACGGGCGCAGGCAGCCCCCCCGAGAGCTCCCGGGCGTGCTCCATCCCCAAACATGAGACACACATCTCATGAGAATCTCCATCCGTGATGTACCGAGGGCAAGAAAAAACACACACCTTCTGTACATCTGGTTGCCGGACATGCTGGTAGACTTCTTCTTCAGGTAAGACATACTGCTTGTAGGACTGGAGCTTTCTTCAAACAACATACAGAGCGCCTGCTGAATAGAAAAAAGCTAATGATGAGTGTGTACAGGTGTGCTTTATACTCCTCCGGTTATTCCGTCACACCTTACCGTTCTAGCAACAAGCCAATAGGATTGGAGTGATTTCATTCACGTTCAGACCTGCTTCGCCTAGAGGCGTTCCCATAGTGTCGTAACCGACGCAGTTCGAGTTCCCTCGAAGGGGAACTCCGAGGCAGCTATAGACAGCGCCATCTTGGATGATCATTTAAATATCGGCACAATCCTCCTGGAAAAAAAGCAGCGTGACACCGGCTATAGACAGGCAGGGAGACCTTGCCTACATCGTTAGCTCGCCTGCTGCTTTCAGTAACTATCTTTACTATCTGTGTATCTTTCACCAGAGGCTCTGCAAAGTCAGCACAGCTACATGTATTGAATGATAACGAAACGGGTAGTGAGCTGGACTGAATATTATAACCAGATTGTGTCACACTTTATAACAGTTAGACTGCAGTAAGTAAATTTAATGTAATGTCAGTGGATGGCTCTTCCTCTGGATTGTATATTATGTGGGTCACGTTAGTTACAGCGACTGAGAGGTGGAGAAGCTGTGTACCTGAGTATCGGTAAAGGCAATAAATCTAAATTGAACGTTATGAAGCAAACAGCAGCAGATCTGAGCTAATGTAGCGTTAGCTGGCTGCATTACTATAGGATAGTAAACAAATCGTTCCACATTTGCTTTTTACTGTTACATCATGTCTTGCAGGCTTTGACACTTGGGTCGCTTTAGTTGGTGAATTAATGTGGAAAGCGATATAACTTTGCACCGTATAACATTAGTGACTGCTCGGTGTTAGCCGGCGAGCTAACGTTACTTTCTTTGTGTTTCTGCAGCTTTACTAACGCTCACTTTGTTCTTTCTCGACATCATCTGAACCTGTTTGGTCTGATGGGCTTCAGCACATAAACCTTTATTGTTGTTTTGTATCCTCACGTGGAGCCCGTGTTTTACTGTGAGCCGGTTGTTTTATGGTGTTAGCGGACTGCATGTCGTTAGATGCCGTGTTGTCGCTGTAGTACGAGAGAGGCTCGGGAGCACACGGCTGAACCCAACCCGGAGTCCCCACATTAAAAGCAGAATAGTGGCTGATGCAAGCAACGGAGAAAACAGGCGTGTGCTTCATTTCTAAGTGAGTTTTGAGCCCATTGACAATAAGGCAATGAATTAGATTTATTAAAATCAAAAACTTACATATAGCTCCTTTAAGCACGCCTTGTCTTCTCACCTTTAGATGGACTGCTCCTTTTATCAATGAAGCTGTCATATTGTCTATATATACTGATATTTATAACTGAGTGTATTTTGATGTTATTTGGTGATCTACTCACACTCTACTGATCATCTAGTATTGGCTACATCTTATTGTTGTAATGTCCTGAAGGTTTTATTAATTATAATCAATCATTAATTATGATGAATTATTATTATTGCTGTTGACTTTTATTTTTTCACTCCTTTTTTGTAGTGATTGTGATATATGTTAGGACCCCCTCGAAAATTATCTTGTCATTGTGAGGATGTTAGCATGCTGACATTAGCATTTAGCTCCATTGTCTCTATTGTCTTGTTTAGGATTCACATCTTTTTTCATCAAGGTTTATGGCACTGTAGATGACTTACACTGAGTTTTAAAATGTTTGGAAAATATGTATTCTTAAGCAAGACTTAATGACTTAATGTATTGACCAGCCTGTAGGTTTTATATGTGAATATGAAAATGTCCTCAAACAAAGTGTGGGGGTTCATTCTGTACTATTTCCATGGTTATTCCCTTCCTGAGTCCCCTTTGCCTCTTCCTTCCTGTCACTGTAACACAGTTTAAGATGGAACTCAACAGCATGTGGTGCACAATACTGGATTGTCCTCCAAGATAACTAACAGGCACCCATGCACACCTCACAGCAATCAGCCATGTCTGATGTGTGTGCTCATATCAGCTTTCACCTTTACTGACCCTAATTAGCGTCGGGAGATCAAAGAAGCACTGTGGCTGTGATATTGAAATGACTAGCAAACAGGTTGTCATTTCATCCTGCCAGCCCATTTAGACAATCAGTCAGTTAGAGGCCTCTGTAGCCCTATCTGTCTGCCTGCTTTATCTTTTTAGTGGAGACTTTTACACGTGTGTGTGTGTGTGTGTGTGTGTGTGTGTGTGTGTGTGTGTGTGTGTGTTAAACAGTGCTGAATTTCCTGTAGTATGAGAGAGGCCATAGGTCATGCAGCTAATCCTAATGTTTGTGTGTATACATACTGCGTGTGCTGAGGGGGGAGGCTTTAAAGAGATATGAGTTTTCCTTCTTAAGATTGAGACCTGCTTTATTTGTTAGCTATTGTCGCCATGGAAACGAGGAGTTCACCTCAGGAAGGAACGGTTGTATCACACATATGGAGAAACATGTCCATATCACACACCACACTTGCCATACCGCTGAGGAGGCCGACGCTCATTATTGAAATAGAAGATCAAACTGCAGCTGAAACCTCACAGTGTTCTAAAGATGCCGAAAAAGCATCAAACGGACATCACATAAAGTGTTGTATGAAGAGGATCAAAGTCCATTCTTCCCTCTAAACTGGTTGGGGAGCTGTTACACTGCAATGCTGGTGTGTTCAGAGTATAATTGTCTGACATGTTTGTTTCAGCAGCCTTGACTACGATCTCCTGTGTAGTGTTGATGTGTCTCGTCTGAAAACTGCTGAGAGTCAGATGTGTGGTTGTGTATAGACAACTATGCCTTTTAGATTAGATTAGATTCAACTTTATTGTCTTTGCGCATGTCACTGGTACAAAGCGAAACGAAATGCAGATAGCATCTAACCAGAAGTGCTTAAGCAGTAATTAAATAGAATATGAGAAATTATTATACAAGTGCAAGGTATGAATGATGTATGTATATATATATATGTGTGTGTATATATATGTATATATATATGTATACGTATATATGTGTATATGTATATATGTATATATATGTATATATGTATATACATGTATATGTGTATATATAAATGTATATGTATATGTATATGTATATGTATATATGTATGCCATATATTATTCTGTGTAAAATCATAAAATATCTTACGTGTCAGGAGAAAAACCTGACTGGCACCCGAAAAGAAACGCAGTCAGGCGATCCACCTCCTCTCTGTAGTCTGAATAGCTGTTCTTGATGAGGCCAATCACCGTGGTGTCGTCTGCAAATATGTTGGTGGAAACTCTGTTTTGGTCTTCACCAGCTCTTGCGAAAAATACCTGGCTCTTCAGCTGATAAATTACATCTCATTCAGCTTTGTACATCACTTAATTGCTACCAGGTAGTGGCTTTTTAGATCTGCCAGCTGCTGAACATGAGGTTGATAAAAGCCGCAAGACTGAATCAAGAAGTTAACTTAAAGACAGTAAAGCTGCCTGGCTCTGCGCAGAGGTAACAAAATTTACCAACCAGTACCTCTAAAGCTCAATGATAGACATGTTATATCTTGTTTGTGTAAAAATGACGTATGTGTACATGTAGCTGCTCAGAGAAGAAAGGAGATAAGATATCATTATTATTGAAATACAATAATAATGATAATATTCACTTTATCTTCACTTGTCAGGGTCAGATATACAGATTTGAAGCTGGTTGGATTTAATGATTTACATAGACGTTTGCCTTTGATCAGCTCTATGTATCTGATTAACAAACGGTCTGTAGCATAACTATGTAACTAAGGGAAAACATAAATCAGAACTAACTTAGTTCCTTCTGTAAAGTACAGGCTGCAAAGTGTCACTGAATGGTTTGAAAATGTGAATCATATGCTGTGGCTTTCACAATTGACCAAAAAAACAGTTTTTGAAATGACGTTTTGAATTCCACGGACTTGGAGAATCTATGCCACTGATCACTGAAGCCGTTCTGAATGCTTGTGGTGGCCCAAAACCTATCTGTGCATCTGCAAATGTTGAGTGATTTTGTTTATTCTCTGTCAGGCCTGACTCCAGACAGGCTGGGTCTTCCATCGGATGATGCCAGCCCGGTAAGCCCTGAACCAACAACACCGGGAGCTCAGTCTCCGTCCCACCTCCACTACCACAGCAAGGCCCAGCACAGACGTTTCTCCATGGAGGTAAGGAGCAGCTGTAGGAGGTCACATGTTAATATGAGATGAGGGGTGAAGTGCTGGTCACGCTGTACACTGCATGCACAATTATTAGGCAAGTTTTCTGAATGAATAATTTTTTCTATGCCCATTTTCTAAACATATAAATTTGAATGCTCATTGGAGTTTATCATTTTCAGGTGATATGTATATGTGTAATGAGGGAGGGTGTGGCGAAAGTGAATGACACCTTATATCAAGGTGTGCATGATTATTGGGCAGCTTCATTACTTAAGGTAAAATGGACCACAAAAGAGATTTAACTGACACTGAAAAGTCAAAAATTGCAAAATGCCTTTCAGACAGATGCAACACTCTTGAAATAGCTAAACTTTTGAGGCGTGACCACCGGACAATCAAATGTTTTGTTGCGAATAGTCAACTGGGGCGCAAAAAGTACATGGAGAAGAAAAGGCACAAATTAACTGAGACTGGAGACCTGAGTAGAATTAAACATGAAGCTACCTGGAACTGATTATCCTCAAAAGCCACCATATTCCAGAACTGCAACCTACCTGGAGTGTACAAAAGTACACAGTGCCAAGTGCTCAGACATGGCCAAGGTCAGGAAGGCTGAAACACAACTACCACTGAATAAGATTCACAAGTTGAAGCGTCAAGATTGGGCAAAGAAATACCTGAAGGTGATTTTGTGTTGTTAAACTTATTCTAAAAACTGAGAATCAACAAGTAATTTGATAGAAATTATTAAATTTAATCATTTAAATTTAGTAATTTAGTTGTCTAATAATTCTGAACACATATATTCTCCTGGGGAAGACAAAGTTCACTTTTTCTTAGTTAAACATTCAGGTTTGAGATTCAATCATATTTTGGATTGACCGAGAGCATTGTGTTTGTTCAACGATAACATTAATCCTGGGGAATACAATTCATGTAATAATTGTGCACGCAGTGTAGTCACGTGCTGCCAAGCTGTACACAGCTGTTTAAACGTTGATTCAGCACTGATAGGAGACTGGGTTCAAGAGACTGTCTGGGTTCAAGTGCACATTGAAGGTCAAGAAGTAGATATCAACAGTAGCAAAAGTAGTTGGTTATCCCCAAGAGTAATTTCTTTATTTCCACCTCTACCAGCTCAATGAGATGACTCACTTCGGCTCCCCCCCCCCAACCCCAAAGCCCCAGACTATTTATTGAAAATGTGAGAGAGTTCACACTTCCACCTATTCAGAAAAAGTCCCTGTGGAGCGAATGTGATTCATTTTGAGTCTTTCCCATGTTCCACACAATTCTTAGCAGACAGACATTGCTCAGGAAGGACTGTGAAGACAGAAATAATAGTGCAACAGTAAGAGGGCTGGGAGCAATCTGGATAAGAAATATATGCACCTCTGTCAAATGAAAGGGTTTACAAGCTCTACGTAATGGCCTTAGCATTCAGAAAGCATTCATTCCAAATATTAACACATGAACATTTACAAGCACAGACATGACTCATTATTGCAGTGGAAGACTTCATTAATGGCTTCTTAGCAGAAAGGCCCTGCACTCCCACAGAGATTTCACTTTTGACTGATTAGCCTCAAGACTGCGTCGATGCATAGCTCCACCCACCTTTAACCCAAGAAAAACACCTGTGGGGGTTAGAATGTCACAACACTTTATTGGTCTGTTTACTTTCTAATAAGCCACCACATTTGTAGTTATAGCAAGTCATAATGTAGGGAAGGTATACGGGGAACGTAATCAATTACTTTTTACTTAATAATCTAAGAGTAAAAAAACACATTGTTATTGTCATCATCCATCCATCCATCCATCCATCCATCCATCCATCCATCCATCGTCAACCGCTTATCCCGTGTACAGGGTCGCGGGGGGGTTGAGCCAATCGCCAGCCTACATTGGGTGAAAGGCGGGGTACACCCTGGAGAAGGTCGCCAGTCCATCACAGGGCCACATTGTTAGTCATCAGTGGAAGCATAATGTTACGGAGACATTGTGGTTTAACAAGCAGTTAAAATATTTTTCCGTCTAATACAGCAACAGTGTGTGCAATGTGCAAAATCAGCAGATTGGAGACTGTTATGGCATGAGGTTTAAAGCAGTTAGGCTAAAGCATGAATGAGGTTGATGCTTCTTCTTTATAGTCTAAAGGTTCCTAAACTCTGCATCCAGAACAGACAGATAGCAGAGTATATGTTCTAAATGTTGGTGTCTGTCGACTTCCTGCAGGACGTCAGTAAGCACATGTCTCTGCCCATGGACATCCGCCTGCCTCCAGAGTTTCTGAAGAAACTGCAGCTGGAGAGTGAAAACTCACCGCCCTGCAAACCTCTGAGTCGCATGTCTCGACGCGCTTCACTGGTAAGTGCTCTGTATTACTGCATACTTATCTTATGTATAAATATTGGTAGGCCTATAAAGTGTTAACATTTGACAGTAGTCATATTGACGGCTATAAGGCTTTTTGTTTATCTAATTCTCAAATAATTCTCATTTTAGCAAACATAATGGCCTCCTGTTTGTTTTACAGGTCATTTGTTAGATTGGTCTTAAATCTGTGACTGTCTCGGTTCATATTACAGAGCATGTTTCCTCTGCAAATTAGTCCTCCTATTGTGCCTTCCTGTTATTATTATTATTATTTTGTTCCTTCTGTATTAATATTATAATGAGTTCATTATTTTCTTTGATATTTCCTCCAGATTTCTATTAAGAGACATTTGTTTCCTGCCAGGCTGAAAAATGATTTGTTCTTGATTAACTTAAGAAAACATTAACTAATGTATACAAATGTGATCTTTTGACTATTCTAGGGTATAATCAGAGGAAAGAATAATGGCAGTGAACACTGAGATTTATTTGTCTTCTTCTTATTGTCTCTAGTCTGACATAGGCTTTGGGAAACTGGAGACGTACGTGAAGCTTGGCAAACTGGGTGAGGTAGGTCGGTACCCGTTACACATTCAAACGGCTGACATGCAGCCAAGTGTACAGCTGCTACGCCCGCTGCATCCACTGAGCAGTAACTATAGTGAACTTTATAAAAACAAATAAACCATCTCTCTGGTGTATAACATCAACCACGCTGACTACAAGTTGTCTGGGAGTCTTCATTGCACTTATCAGGCTTGCTGTGAGTCAAGTCTCTCAGGGGAGGCAAGATCCTGTCTGAATGGGTACAGCGCATACACTGTTTTCATTGTTTACACGCCTGAGCAAGACAAATCACAGTTTATCCATGTGTCTGTTTTCTTGCATTAGTTCAGCATGGCTGGTACAGCTTAACAAGAATAAGAACAGTATTTAATGTGCATTCACACCGTTCACTCAGACATTTTGTACTCTGAAGGATCACAATGCATGGTTGTGCTGTGGCTTTAGAATTGCATGACTCGGCCACTTAAATCCCACACCATTTATCTGAGAGTAGTTATTGCCTTAAGGAATGATTATTGACAGAATTCAATTATTGAAAGCATTCGTCTCAGTCACAACGCAGAGCAGCAGATAACTGCACTGGTGAGAGATCAAAAAGAGCCACTTTTGTTGTCAGTTATCATAACCTGTGGTTCAAAAAGGCATGGCTTGGTTTATATGCAGTGATGTGCACATGTGGCCATTATAAAACTTCAGTTACTACTGTTCCTTTACTCTGTTCAGCCTGCAGTACTTGATCTACAGTTATTAGAACACCTACAATCAGCTACATAAAGGATTGCCAGCAAGCCATGATGAAAGATAATCATAAGTGAGGAAGATGAGCTGTGACAGTCGGTAATCAGAAACAATCAGATCCCAAAGAAATAAATATGAATTTACTTAATGGAGCCTGTCTGACATGCTTGCCTTACACTGATGTAATGTTTTGATGAGGATGATAGCAGTTAAAACGTCTAACCTCATTCATTCAGATGGAATAAATAATATTTTTGCGGTTTATGTTTGTGTTCTTCAGAAGATTATGAAAAAGTTAACAGACAGTGGGAGTAAACATACCCATAAATTCCTTTCTTTAAATTTTTTTTAATAAAATTTTTTTAAATTTCCCTTCTATTCTAATGCTATTACTGCTGGCGTTTGAGTAACAGCTCTTTAGAATATAGTATAATAAGAAAGGCAACCTAGAGGTGTGTGTGTGTGTGTTTTTATAGGGTACGTATGCCACAGTATTCAAAGGTCGAAGCAAACTAACGGAGAACCTGGTGGCGCTAAAGGAGATTCGGCTGGAGCACGAAGAGGGAGCACCTTGCACTGCTATCAGAGAGGGTACACACACACGCACGCACACACACACACACACACACACACCCCTGAAAGGTTGTGCCCTCACATGGATAATAATTATATTTTAGCTTCACTTAAATATGTCATTTAGCATCTAAACTGGACGTATGGTGAAGTTCTGTCATTCAAAGGAACACAGCATTATAGTATATTAGTTCACATTAAAGGTGTGGGCAGAATTGATCATACATAGCACCAGTTGACTGAACGGTTCACAGATGTCTCAAATGCCTACATTACTGACAAACTGACATCATGCCCCCCTTCATGTACGTATGTGTGTGCGTTCATTAATACATGCCTGGTAGTTTGTCAGTGATCTTCTATCTGCTACCAAAACTGATAGTGATGATGCAGATGTGACACGTCTTCTATTTAAGTACACAGTTGTTATTATACACTTTATATAATAATGTATAATATATGTTATGACCATTATTACCATAAACCTCTGTTCTGTACCTCTGTACTACATACTACTTCTAAGCAGGTTTTGGCAAAATAAACTATACTCAAAACAGTCAGTATAAATTAAAAATATTATTTTACAGGTTTCTCCCACAATGCAATGCACAAATGAAATGGAGGACCAAAGTAATTGTCAGACAACAACCACTAACTAATATTTATGGAAACACATAGCTGTCTCTTTATTATGTTTCATCTGCATTTTAAAGAGGTGCTATTCTGCTTTTTGTCCTTTTATTGAGTTCTCTCTCTTTTTTGTGCATGTAACAGGTTTGCAAAGTGAAAAAGCCCAAAGTCCAGCCCAAAGGGAGTTCCCATCTCCCACAGAAAGCTCTGCTCTGAACCGCTTGAAAACAGCTGGTTTGTAGTCCAGCTCTTCACTTCCTTTACTTGTGACATCACAATGAAAACGCGTCATAAAGCTTGCCAAGCGGCTAGCGGGTCAGGCACGCCCTCAAACCAAGCTAGTCTGAGCGGAGGCCCTTTGGCTCAACTCGCCTTTGTTTGGTTTTCCATTGTAGAAATGTTGCACCTGTACCTGCTTCCAGGTACTTTTTTTCATATAACCTCACCTCCGTCGAGGTTCCAAGCGAGCTGAGGGAAACTAAAATGTAACGTGAAAACAGACAGACTGCTGATTGGTCAGAGAGAATATTCACTATTCACTGCATCATCATTGCTGCACCAGACAGAGGCCAGCAACAGAAAGTTTTATATGTTACAGTTTTCTTATGGAATTTCATCACTAAATCCACTTCCGAGAAGTTTTGAGGTGAGAAATCAGCTGTGTAGATTTCCAATATTGACAGTTTTAGAGAAGTGATGGTGGAACAAAAACGTGCTTGAATATTTTCGGAGTTGAGGAGCTCAGCAAGTGGCTGCGGGGGAAGCCTACTGTGACCCGCGGGAGGAGCGTGTGAGGCCGGCCAGCCGCCCGCTCACAGAGCGCTCTGCTCCCGCCGTCACACAGACCGCTGCAGCAACAACGGCAGAGGAAAACACAGCTGGAAGGTTTTCATACCGCTTATCTGTCTTTACATTCTGAGGAAGGTTGAAACGTTTCAACTTAAAAAAGAGAAAGCTGTGTGGATCGCTGGTGTGTGTGTCGCATTGAACATTACGTCGCGGCAGTTGTGTGTGGCGTCGCTATGACGACAAGCTACATACTATCTCTGGGTACTATCTGCAATGCGCTATGGTAGCATTTTTCGGCAAGGCAGCATAGATCATCAGAACAGGTCAACAGTTCAACAGTTCAACGTTTAGTCCTGATGGTAAGATGTGGAACAATGATGTTGTGGACTTGAGAGTAACTTATACCATCTGTTACGGTCGCAGTCTGAAGCGGCTTTGATTTGGATCACAGGCCAGCCCACGTAGGTGTCAATGAAGCGGCCCTGATGGTCACAGACAGCCTGCAGGATGATGGATGGAAACAGTTTCCTGTTCCTGTAGCACTGACCATCAGGGCCGCTCGGTGGCTTGATGCGGACGTGGCAGCCGTCGATTGCTCCAGCTGCTTTAAAAAAGGCTCTGTGTCTTGCCAGCCCTGCAAACCCACGGGATATCGGTTGTAACTCATCCTGGGTCTTCGGTAGGTGGATGACCTTTGGCGAATGGCCACCACCTCCTCAGTGACTCTGTGGACGATGCGGTGGACAGTGGATCGAGGCATTGCAAACACTCTGGAGACCACCCTGCATGATGCCCCGCTTGCCAGCCACAAGAGAAACACCAGGGTCTCAATCGTGGCACCCCATCCGTGTCTCCGTTCCTGGTTTAGGAGGCCCAGTAGCACTCGTTAAAAAACCTGTCCAGCACAGGCGCAATCAGATTTATCCTGCAGTACAGGAGCCTTGGCTGGTTTAGGGATACAAGGAGAAGAACAGCTGTTATGAAGTGTAGAGAGCTTAGTTAGATAAGGCTTGTATATCTTTCTATTCAACTTGCTTTAGCTGATCAATGACAAAAACACTGTCAATATTTTAATATTAAAGTAAGGTTAGGGTTTCTTTAAATATGAAATTATGTTGTTAAAGTGAAATGGCAGTAGCAATAAACTACGTTAACTGTGGTTAACATCACTGTTAGCTTTAGGAAGCCTATAGTTCCTAAATACATATAAAATGTAACGTTTCTTAGTTACTTTCCCCCGTATTTACCTGGCCAGGGTCCTCTCTCAGCCTGAGATACATCATGCGGCGGCGCCGGCGGTGAAGTAGCTCTAGTTCCTCTATTAAGAGGTAAAATTAAATTAAAATATTCGTCTCCATGCCGGTGGACCGCAGCTGTGAAGGTTGCTAGGCGACGGAGGAGGAGCGGCGCTTCCCCACGCATGGGTAATGGCGGGGTCAGATGATGACGTAATAGACAGTCCTCTGTAGACCAGACCGTCTCATTTAACAACGGTCGGTTCAGCCTTCGTAGGCCGCAGAAGGCCACGACCTTCAAAGGATGCGGTCCCTGAATTGAGACACAGCTTACCTGGGAACTGCCAACAAAGATTATGTACAAGTAAGATGCATCACTCTGTAGCTCAGGAGCGGACCGTACAACACAGGGTGAAGAGAGGAGCTGCAGCAATGTGCAGTATGAGAAACACATGGTGTTTTTTGAAAATGAAACCATGTAAACCTGTTCTGGTACAACCCCTAAATAAGATTTTGAACCTGAAAATGAGCAGAATACCACCTCTTTAAAATCTCAGTTTGACAGATGTCCAGCAGTGCAAATCATTTTCTATTATAATACTAACTGCAAAAACTATATACTATACAGATTAGTATGGATAGGATTAGTATGTACTAATCCATAGCTCAAGTCTGCAGTAGGTTTACATTAAACCTCAGATACAATGAACTCTAGTGGCATTTAAGAGATTTATCCAGGACACAGCAGCTGAGTTTAGACTAAACCACAGGGACAGTTTAAATTGTAGCTTCTGAGGGCACAGCAATGGGGTTTAGGAGACCAAGTGATTTTGTTTCAGACAGCACAAGTTCAGACCCATCTTAATCCTGAAAGCCATTGTTTTCCAGTGATTTCTACTGTTGCTGTTGTTGTGCTGGAGGCACATGTTCATCTCTCCTTCCTCTGTCCACCCAGTGTCCCTACTGAAGAACCTGAAACATGCCAACATCGTCACACTGCACGACATCATCCACACCGACCGCTGCCTCACTCTGGTGTTTGAGTATCTTGTGAGTACATCTCCACTTCAGCATGCAGGTATTCAAAAGGTTTTTACCACAATTACACAAGTGGAATGTGGGTAGATTAAGTACGAAAACTGTGTCTTCCAGGACAGTGACCTTAAACAGTACTTGGACAACTGTGGGAATCTCATGAGCATGCATAACGTCAAGGTGAGCCACACTGTAGATGTCAAACACTACAGAATATATACCAGAGAGAGAGGGTATGTATTTGTTTACGTCTGTGCAAGTACATAAAACCTATACCATAAAAACCAGAAGGTAACAACAAGGTTTAACAACACATTGTTTGGTTCTGAATTTATTTCTTGAATCCCCAAATACCCAGGTCTCCAGGTATATGTCCTTGCTTTGTTTTCTCAACACAAGCACCAATAACAAATAATAAAATGTTTAGACAGAATATTGTTTTCATCAAGGATTCTGGAAATACCTTTAGAACAGCGTTTCAGTTCAGTTCAATTCAATGGGGCTGTGTTGGCATGGGAAACAGAGTGTGAAATAAAAACATGCATATAAGAATTGTGATTTTGCTATATATACACCAATAAGTGATAACTACATAAACATTGAAACATTTGTTTAATGGCCTTCTGGGTTTTTCTGATATTTTTCAGATACAGTTATACAGGTGTACATTTTTGAGCAAAAAGCGAATGTTTACTTCTGCAACTCATGAGAGTCTCATAAGAGGCACAAACTGGGACTAAGTGATATATTAGCAGTTCATTCTAGGATTCCGCTGGATTTCTGCTCTTATTTTCTAACTCCCCTATTTTGAGAATGTTAATATATTTTGTTTTTTCTCCTACAGATCTTCATGTTTCAGCTGCTGCGTGGTCTGTCCTATTGTCACAAGAGGAAAATCCTCCACAGAGACCTGAAGCCACAGAACCTGCTGATCAATGATAAGGGCGAGCTCAAACTGGCCGACTTTGGTAGGACAAAAAGCATGCTTGCATCCAGCAAAATACGGACAACAAATGCAAATGGGGTCCTAAGGACACAGACATAGAATAAGATGACTTCCTGCCACGATTGCTTTCCAATTATATGTTACTGCCACTGAGAGATCTCCTGATTACTTTAGCACCCTTACTTCCTGTATCCTAGCAACTGTGCCCCTCTCTCTGAGTTTTTTTAATTTTGTGCTGGGAGTGGGTAGAAAAACAGTATTCCCTGAGTATTTTCTATAATTTTAACTAAACACAGCATATGAGCCGGGACTATTCCAACGTTTTTCCTGAGTGACACTTTGATCTGTCAGACACTTTATGATGAATCAGTGTGTACATGTTTGGTCTAAGGTGCTATGACGTCTTACTGACCCCACTGTATGAGACTGCATCGTACTGTTCCATACTACTCTTGTGGAGACACAAAATACTTGTCATTTCATGATGATTTTGCTACAAAGGTAGTGCCAGACTGAAAGAGGTTGAATATTTGCACAAAAAGCAGGCTTGCTTAAATATGAAGGTCTTACACCCTGACGGTGTTGTGTTGTCCAGGTCTGGCGAGGGCCAAGTCTGTCCCCACTAAGACCTATTCCAATGAGGTAGTAACTCTATGGTATCGGCCCCCTGACGTGCTGCTGGGCTCTACAGAATACTCCACACCCATCGATATGTGGTGAGTAATACAATATGGATATCAATAGGCTAACATAAACTTGCTTCTTTATACAGTGCACTGGTCCACAGTACCACAATTAACGCCTGCTCACTTCAGTGTACTGGACCTACATCCGCACTACAAATAGTCCCAACTGTAATATGTGGAAGAGCATGCTGGAGCAAATACTGTTGTGTGATTGCAACCACCAGCATTATTTCTTCTTTAGTTTACTTTCTGTAGATTTAAACATGATGCAAAAAAGCATGTACTGTATGTATTTGTGCATTTGCATTTAGTAAGTCTCTCTCTGTGACTAATTCAGGCTCAACTGAATATCAGAATTTCAAGAGAATTCTGTGTGTGTGGGCATGTTTTACTATATTCAACGGGTCTGAAATCTGGGATCCCACTATAGACGCTTTCAACAGTAACAACATAAACAAACGGTGCTGCGCATGTGCATTACTCTGGCCCAAACTTAACTTCCGGTAGACTTCCTCATGCAATCCATAACAATGGATGGACGGATTTGTGCAGCGGTGTTCATGATTAGCCAGTAAACACAAACCCAGTGATAAACAAACAGAACGGAAGTTGATTTGGGGCTGGGCGCGTCTCCTAGCAACGCGTCGGGTTACGACTTGGTTTTAGGGTTAGGGTTAGAGATTCCGACTGTTGTTCGTTATGAAAAGATGAATGAGTGTTTGTTTGCTTGCCAAACTTATGATAGTCAATCATTTATGTCCCGCTGGCTACCATCACATTAATTATTAACGTTGGCAAACGGGTCACAGGTTTATTGTTGATCATGTAACGTTACAGTTTTATTTAGTTAATGTTACACTGGGTTTGCGAGTCTGGGGGGTGTGTTGACTTACAGTAGTTAATAAGCCGTCATTAATTGCATTGCACATTACATGGTTGTGCTCTGTAAATGAAAAACAGGTTACAGTTACAGAAATCTTTATAGCTATGCAGTTTTATAAGCAACCTGGATTGAACGCAGCAGGTGATACAACATTCAGTAGCCACAAATGACTTGAGACTTGACTTGGACTCTAGCTAAAAGACTTGTGAGCATCTCTGGGGTCTACAGACTGCAAATATGTCAATAAGATGTCCCCACAGAGATAGAGGAAAGAAATATATGTGTGGTTGTGTGTATCATCTAAAATGAACAAAATACAAGAGACACAATGTTGCCTGGCCTTGATCGAGACCAGTCATACTACGTATCACAACCCTGCATCGCCATGTCCGTAACTTGGACATTTCAGTGACTGCCTCATAAAATTTGTTATGGGCAAAATGTTGAAAATATGAACTCACCAGATGGTAGGCAATATTAGATGTAAGATAATAGATGAGTCTCTAGTCATACACCTGCATTCACTTTCCGTACATGTTTTTGCTCATTGGCAGTTTGCCATGGTGAGAAAACCCACAAAGCTCTGGTGAACCACTGAGGATTCATCGTGGCTCAGTAGTTACACGGCAGCCATGTAAGGCTCACCTAGCTACATGTTCTCTCATCAGAGCACAGTGAGCCTCTTCAGCACACCATCCTGGAACAAAAGGATGCACTGTGCCCACTCACACCACACATGTTTGCACTTATGATCAGCCCTCTTTGAAGTGTGTGTGTTTGTGTTTGAACACGGCCTCACCTCGATGATGGAGGACTCTTTGTTGTTTGCTTGTCCTCCCTGTATCTGTATCATCTCCTCCCTCCTCTTCCAGGGGCGTGGGCTGTATCCTGTATGAAATGGCAACAGGTCGCCCCATGTTTCCTGGTGCCACAGTGAAGGAGGAGCTACATCTAGTTTTTAGGCTCATGGGTAAGTTAGCAGCACATTATCATAATATCCTGCAGGCCATGCTAATACCAAGTAATATATGAAGTAAGAACGAGTCTTATGTACGGAAGCCCTAAGCGGCCATCGTTTCATATCTTTATTTTACTCGTGATAACGGGATAATTATCTCATGATGTTGAGATAACGACCGTTGTTTTCTCGTGATAACAAGATAATTTTCTTGTGAGCTCCAGATAACGAAGGTGCGTTTCTTTGTGATAATTGTGTGACAATTTGCTGAGTTAGCATTTAGCTCAGTTGGTAGAGTGCACGACTTGCATCCAAAAGATTGTTGATTTAATCCCCGCGCTCTGCAAAGTTTTTTTTTTTTATTATTCCTTTGTGTGTTTTTTCAATCACACATTTTCCAATGGCTATTTCAAAGCTAACTAACATTACATTAGGAACAACCCACAGCCGAAATGTTTCTGGATTTATTTTAGGTTTTGGAAAGTGCCCCAGGAACAGTGTTAGAAAAAAAAGGGGAAAAAAGCTAGAAAACGACTCCTTTTACATGAGAGTCATTGGAGCACAGCCATGAAAGTGTCGGACCTCAGTTAGAGCGAGTCCTATACTGCGCTGTGACTGGTCAGCTTTGTATTCGGGGTGTGGCTTTGTTGGAGATGAATATGAAAAAAAAAATTTTTTTTTAATTAGTCTTCCATGAGGATCAAACTCACAATCTTAAAACCCTACAAAGTCCTGTAAGTTACCAACTGAGCTAATCAGTAAAGCTGAAAGCACCTTGAAATTACCATTAAGAAAAGTTCTTGCCAGCCCGTGTTAAACTACTGTTTAGTTATCTTGAGATCTCGAGAAAATGATCCCGTTATCACGGGAAAACGGAGTAAAATAAAGATATGAATCGATGGCCGCTTAGGGCTTCCATACCTAAGTGTGACACAGACAACCACACATTTCTTTTGTTTCTTTGTCTGCCAGGTACTCCATCAGAAGAGACCTGGTCTGGTATCAGCAGCAATGAGGAGTTTCGGTCTTACCTTTTTCCTCAATACAGACCTCAAGCGCTCATCAACCATGTGCCCAGGTAATGCTAACAAATTCTGTCTGTTGACCTGAATGGTGTCTGAAGGATGCTGTTCTTAGGACACAGTGGTGCTTTGAGTAAATGCTTTGCTGCATCAGCATGTCATGATGCTAACATGCTGATGTTTAGCAGGTATAATGGTTAACATTTTAACCATCTTAGATTAGCTATTAGCATGCTAACAGTTGCTAATTAGGAAATACAGGGTGATGGAAGGGTCAGTTCATTAAACTAAATGATTGGGCGAGTATATTGAGATAGTTCATAAAGACCTTGACCTTCAGATTGCTCTGGATCAAAAGTCACCAAATACATTACAATTCATCCTCAGGAGACCACAAATGGCTGCACTAAATGTAATGGCAAGTTATCCAATAGCTGTCAATATCTCTGTTCTGGACCAAAATGGTGGACCTGCAGACAGGCTTTGCCATCGCTCAAGCTATGCGTTAATGTGGCCAAAAATCATTCCTCAGTTAGTCTGTAAAAATCTACAGATAATTAATAATCTGCAGATAATTAAGAGAAACCAGGATGTGTTCTTAGTCCTGTAATCATCTAGACAAATATATTTATGATTCGAGAGCAGGATTTTTATGTATACCGATAACATGGTTTAGTTCTCCGTCTTTAACAGACTCCTTATGCTTCAGGCTTGGTGAAAAAATTGAAACTCAGAGATTAATGTTAATAGGACTAAAAAAAGTATTTGTGACAAATAATAACAGGGCTGGTTGAACTTCACAGCCAACTTGTTTAAACTATGTCTTGCAGGGTACCCCCAGGATTCTCAAAGTTAAAAATTAAGACCTTTTTAATACCACCTAGGATGAAATTTAATGGCAACTTAGTATAATGGAAATCTGTATGAATTTTAAGCCAGAGAAAATTATTATTGAAGAAGTTACCTGAATTTAATAAAACATTTTATTATAATACTCGCATTCATATTTAATACACTACAGATTTTTGGGGTGTGTTTGTACTATGATAACATAAAATTAATCAAGGAAATCACTTTGTGTTGAAAAATGGTGGGGATATACAGGGGTTCAGAAAAGGGGTGTGACGATACACTTAGCTTACATACACAATTTTGGGTTCACGAGAACAAGACAAGAAGATATTTTAACACTATTTTGATGAAATATTCAATGCTGATATAAATTGGGATTTGAGCATTAAACACTTAATCTTCTGCATTCTGGAGACATTTTCTGCATCAATTTATGGTAGAATTGTCTTTATTTATATAAAAGGAAAAAGAAAATTCAAGTGACTATTAGTAATAAGCAGCTTTTTTTTTTTAGGTTACTTTTTTGGACAATTTGTTTCTTCTATAGTTACACTGCATTGCATGTTTTCTTATTGTGCAAATAACCCTTTCTCAAAGCATTTTCATTAGTTTTTTAAGATTTCTTGTTGCAAGCCATTTTTCAGAACATATTTAACAAATGTTTTTTAAAAAGTGATGGAAACATGTCCCCAGCATCCCCAGTGTAAATGACACCTATGAAATGAACGTAATATTTGTCTCACTAAGAACTCTTATGGTGTGAAACCAAAAATACAAAATAAATTTAGCAGTTTGAGTTGTTACAATTAATTACACCTTGGCTAGATAAAGTAATGTAATATAAAATGCCAATGTAAATGCCAATTGCTTCAGTGATTATTCATCCTGTTCTGTTTTTGCATCTAAAGGCTGCTTGAAATATAATATTATATAGTAGTGACTTGAAAGCAGCGGGGATAAGGAGTTGGGCACAGGTTTGTTTTTTCTTCTTCCTAGTGATCGGCGCATCTGGGTGATGTAAGTTTAATGTGCATTAGCGTGTTGGATGTTTCCATTCACATAACGTTACCCTACAACTGTGGCCACGCCGACACACAGACACGGTCCTCGTCTTATACACAATTGTTTCTCCGTTGCTATTGTAACATTCACTGACCAATAACCTGCAGGCGGTTCTTCCAGCTCCGCTGGATGGCAATTTGAGTTTTCAAATAAATAGCTCAGGCAAACACATTGTCTTTCTGTGAATTTTATTCAAGTCTTCTGCAGAAGGAACTCACAGGGACACATACGCATCAGAGAGTATCATCCGAGTGAGCTCCAGTGTAACAGCTCATGCAGCTTTTATTCAATTCAATTCAATTCAATTTTATTTATATAGCGCCAAATCACAACAACAGTTATCTCACAGCAATTTTCATAAAAGAGCAGGTCTAGACCGTACTCTATATTTTCTCAGGAGTCGGAGTACTATCTCATCAAAGGAACATGGTGTCTTTCAGTGTTCCCTAGGGGACACTCAATCTGGATCTATAGAAAGACACCTATGTCCAAGGTAAATGTGATGAACCACTTAGAGTGGTCTCTGGGCCAATAAGGCCTAAAAATCTGGGCCTAAAGCATCACACACATTTACCTTCCTCTGACCCCATACCCAAGAGGCTAGAGGCCCCTAGTGAGATTAATTACATGGCAGTGTTTTAAAGATGGTTCTCATGAAATTCCCATCACAGGTGCTAACCACAGCCCCCTATGCCCCAACTTGTCCATATCTCTGTCCTTCTGAACTTCAGGCACTTGCCCATCAAAGTGTCGATCGTCTTAACGTTAGCTTGTTAATAGCACTTCAGAGATGTTTTGTTTTCCTGCCAGAGCTCGTGCACCGTGAATACTCCACAGTCCAAGCGAAACACTGACATAAACAGTAATGTTACCTGAACTGCCGTTTAACATCCAAGTCACACAAAACGGAGTAAATTGTAAAGTCACACAGACAAAAAGAGTTTATTTATGATGTTTACGGCATTTATTTAATCCTACGAAAGGACATTACGAAATGTAATACTTTGTAAATTAAATTTAATAAAAACAGTGGGCTTTGAGAGGGGGGGCTTAAAGAGACAGGAGCAACTACAGCTCGTTTCAGACAGAGGCTGAAAGGAAGGCCTTCATGAAGAGTCAGTATAAGATAGAAATTTTTTTTTTTAACTTTGAATCATGCAAAGCTGCCATACAGGAGTCACTGAACTAAAATATAGGACTATAAAAGCAGTATAATAGACAGGCATATTTTTATAATATGAAATTTACTTTTACTTTTTTTAATACTTTTAAGACCCGTGTGGACCCTCTCTTGGTATAGTTCTGGGTGGCCAATTTAGCTTCTCTGAAAATACCAATGATATTTTGAAGAATTGCTCAAAGCACATAATATTTCAACTCTATATGTTTGTACACTGTCAGAATAAGATATTTTTTGTCACCATATCTATTCTGTATGCTCCTTTTTATGTTTTTGCGAATTAAAGACACATTTCCACTCTGGTGGATAAGTAAGTTGTATTCTATACTATTTTATTAAAGAGCTGAGAAAATATTGGGTATTATCAGCCATATCTAACCATAGACTGAATATCATTTTTGAATAAAAACATTTAGGGTGTCATTTGGGGGAAAACAACATGAAGAAAATTCAGCCCGCTGTACTTGTTTTCATGATCAGTATCAGTGTGTACTTCTTCTCTAAATAGTGTAAATGCAAACTGAACTTTTTCTTTGTCTCCATCAGGTTGGACACAGAGGGGATCGACCTGCTGTCTGCTTTGCTGATGGTATGAGACAAAGGCACAATGACCTTCGTTCACCTGGATATGAGACAGAACTGAACTTGGATTTCAAAGACGGTCTATTCAGCTGCTTTTATGTTCTGATTGCAGTACGACACCAGAAGCAGAATCTCCGCTGAAGCTGCTCTACGACATCCCTACTTCCTGTGTCTAGGGGATAACATACACAATTTGGCAGACAGTAAGACATGTACACACATGTACACTGTGAACACACCTTTAAAGCCCACAGCTCTTGGCAACTCTGGCTGTGAACAGCAGACTGCACTTCTACTGTAAATATGCTACTTTGCCATCTCTGTGTTTTTTGGGTCAGTTTCCACATTTTGACAAACAAATTGGTTATCTCATAGCATATGTGTATGTATGAATACAGCTACAGCACATGTAGTCTCATATAGCCAGATGCTTCATTTTAGCTACAGTTTATGTGGCAGTTTTTTATTCACATATGAAAGATTTTATAAATGAGTGGCAACACACACTGAGGATGTTGTACAGTACCAGTAGAGCCGTCTTTTTCTCTCCCCTCTTTTGTAGCTGCTTCAGTGTTTTCCCTCAGAGAGGTGCAGCTCCAGAAGGATCCAGGCCACCGCAGCTCATTGTTTCAGCCTTTAAGTAAGGTTCCTGCCACACAATCTCACAACAAGCTTTGGAACATTAAGTTCTTCACATTGTGGGCAGCTATAACAGTTCTACTGTGGACTATGTTCTGCACATGATGTGGATAGTGTTAGATCTGGTAATGAGAATGTAGTGCACAGGATAGATATCCTGTGTGTATGCTGTGCATGCACATTCACTTTCCGTTATATTCTCATTGTCTATATTTTAATATCACACATTCTAAGACTTAAAAATTGCTAAAGAAAATATAATTCTTAAATTATGGTGTCAAGGGGACACCAATACAGTAGCCTACTGGTGTGACCACCCTTTGCCTTCAAAATAGTGATGGGAAAAGTCACTCTTTTGAAAGACTCGAGTCACCAAATCTCATTCATTAAAATGAACTAATCTTTTTTTGTGTCATTTTGTTCATTTTAACTAGGCTGGTTATTGCGGCACTGCAGCCCTCTAGTGGGCGATAAAAAAAAAAAAAATAAATAAATAACCAGCACAGTTCTCAAACACAGAAGGCTGCCTGGTTTGCTTTAATTGACAAAGTATAATGCACAAATTCACCTCTTGTGTTGTATGATGTTTCTTTATCATGGTTCTATAAAGCCCCATGGAGCCACAACCAAATTCAAACCATGAAAAGACCATAGAAATATGTTGTCAATATTCAATTAAGCCACTACTCCGGCTAAATCCATCCATTTTCACAATTTTTCCTGAGTATACAACCAGACCAGCCATATATAATTTTAATTACTATCTTTATATCTGTAACGTCCCTATCTATGGGTAAAATCTATATATTAACATCAGATTTGCGGGACTATATTGAAGTAATAAGCTTGACACACCAGATGAATAAAACACACTCTTATTAAAATTTAACAAATTTAATAATAATCTCAAACACTGCAGGTTGTTCACCAGCACAGCTCTGTTGATAAATAAAAAGTAAAAGTTATGTTGCGTTCTCTGGCATACTGGATCAGCTGTTAGCTGTAAACAAACCACAGGGCTAACGCTAACGTTGCTATGTGGCTGTCTTTTAATGTTTTAATGACCGGATCCGTTTGTTTTAACATACGGCTGTGTTAAAACTATGGCACAACATCACTGCGCTGTAAAATTGTTGTTTTGTTTTTTTTTAACTTTAATTTATTCAGGCAAGCTTCACTGAGAGGAAGCCTCTCTTTTGCAGGAAGGCCCTGATCACATTCACACTGTTACACATTCACACCTGGACAACCGGAGCTGTTGGTGTTATGGGCCTTGTTCAAGGGCACCTCAGTGGTGGTAAATGAGGGAGGGCAAGGTTGGTTTACTTTCCACAACAAGATATTATCCTGCCGATTGAACTGGCAACCTCCAGGTCACAAGCTCGCTTCTCTAACGTTTGGGCCACCACACTTTTCTCAAAATTATCAAAATATATATATAATGTCAGTCCAGTGACTGTTAACTGACAACAGACTTGCCTCTCATTCCCCGGTGCTGGCAGTTACTCAGTCTGCCGAGTGAAGACAGACCCCGAGGAGGACCCATGTGAGTCGTGAACGAGTAGTTCATTCCTGCTCTACAGTAGCTGAAATGTCACGTGAAAACGACTCAAACCCAGAGACCCACAGTTATGAGTTCTGAACTAATCAATTCTGTTTCCTGTGCTGCCTGCTAACCACAGCCCTGTAGCCAGCTGTCATGTGACAAATGAACGACTCAAACCCAGAGAACCACAGTTGAGAGTCGTGAACTAATCAATACTGTTTCCTGTGCTGACGGAGCCCATGCAGCTGCTGTGTGACAAGTGAACGTAAGAGTCCAAGATCTTTCACGCATGCGTGAAAATGAACCCGTTCCTCCTGAGTCACATACAAGATTAGGTCAAATGAACGAAACGTTCTTTGAACGACTCAACACTACTTCAAAACAGCATCAAATCTTCTTGGTACACTTGCACAAAGTCAGGGATTTTGTAGGCATATTGTCAGGTGTATGATTAAACAATTATAACAAACAGGTGCTAATAATCATAAATTCAATGTTCAAATCACAACAACAGTTATCTCACAGCGCTTTTCATAAAAGAGCAGGTCTAGACCGTACTCTATGATGATATTTACAGAAGCCCAACAGTTCCCACCAAGAGCAAGCACTAGGCGACAGAGGCAAGGAAAACTTCCTTTTAAGAGGCAGAAACCTCGAGCAGAACCATGGCTCAGGGTGGGCGGCCATCTGCCTCGACCGGATGGGGTGAAGGAGAGAGAGGGAGAGAGAGAGCGAGAAAGAGAGAGAGAGAGGGCAAGAGAGGAACAGAGAGAAAAAGAGAGGGATGTAAGGAGAGAGAGAGGGGAGGGAGGCAGCCTACACAATATACACACAGAGGTACAGACAGTACGTATGTATATGTAGGTTGAAACACTAAGTAAATGTATCTAAATCTTAACAAAATCATTAAGTGAAACGGAAACAGCAGACTGCAGAGCTGCAGACTTTGCACACCGCTGTTCTTTTCTTCCTACAGTCATCGACATCATAATCCTTGAATGTCTGTGTTGTACTACACGTAACAGTCTTTTTTTACGCCGCTGTTACGGAGATCTGGACCACTAATGTTATGTGAAGCACACATGGTTGCAGGATTATGCGCAAATGTTGGAATGAGCGAATGCATGTATTTATTTATAAAATCACGTCATTTAAGCCATCTTTCTCAAGTCTAAGTCAAGTCTAAAGTCATAGAAAACCGAGTCAAGTCGAGTCTTTTGTCTGTTTTAGTCAAGCAAGTCTCAAGTCTTCAAATTTGCGACTCGAGTCTAACTCGAGTCAAGTCATGTGACGCGAGTCCCCCACCTCTGCCATCTACCGTCTGCAGAAACAAAGCCCGCGACTCAACTTCAATTAAATTTTATTCATATAGCGCCAAATCACAACAACAGTTATCTCACAGCGCTTTTCATAAAAGAGCAGGTCTAGACCGTACTCTGTGATGATATTTACAGAAGCCCAACAGTTCCCACCAAGAGCAGCACTAGGCGACAGAGGCAAGGAAAAACTTCCTTTAAGAGGCAGAAACCTCGAGCAGAACCATGGCTCAGGGTGGGCGGCCATCTGCCTCGACCGGTTGGGGTGAAGGAGAGAGAGAGAGAGAGAGAGAGAGAGAGAGAGAGAGGAGGCAGCCTACATAATATACACACAGAGGTACAGACAGTAAAGGTGATGTTGCTATAGACTAAATGAAAAATGGTACAGATATTTATAGTAGTGTTAATGATAACAATCGTAATGTTAATGATTATAATAACAATAGGACTAATAACAATAGTTGTTGTAGCAGAGGGTGTCGATCAGGAACACGGGAGCAGCAGGTGACTTGCAACCACAGATCCAGACTCCACAGCTCCAGAGCCAGAAAACCTGCAGGAAGTGATAGGAGGAGAGAGGAGAGTGATGAGAAAGCACAAGACTACGGGAAAGGGGAGAAGTTGAGTTAGTAACATGCAATAATGGGATGAGGTTGCATACAGAGGGAGGGAAAGTAGAGGAGAGAGGAGCTCAGTGCATCATGGGAAATCCCCTGACAGTCTAGGTCTATAGCAGCATAACTAAGGGATGGTTCAGGACTACCTGAGCCAGCCCTAACTATAAGCTTTATCAAAGAGGAAAGTCTTAAGCCTACTCTTAAATGTGGAGATGGTGTCTGCCTCCTGAACCCAAACTGGATCCTGGTTCAACAGGAGAGGAGCTTGATAGCTGAACGCTCTGGCTCCTAGTCTACTTTTGGAGACTCTAGGAACCACAAGTAACCCTGCATTCTGGGAGCGCAGTGCTCTGGTGGGGTAGTAAGGTACTATGAGCTCTTTAAGATAAGATGGCGCCTGACCATTAAGAGCTTTGTAGGTAAGAAGAATGATTTTAAATTCTGTTCTGGATTTTACTGGAAGCCAATGCAGAGAAGCTAAGACAGGAGAAATGTGATCTCTTTTCCTGGTTCCTGTCAGAACACGTGCTGCAGCATTCTGGATCAGCTGAAGAGTCTTAACAGACTTTTTGGAGCAGCCTGATAATAAGGAATTGCAGTAATCCAGCCTAGAAGTAACAAATGCATGGACTAGTTTTTCTGCATCATTTTTAGAAAGGATGTTCCTGATTTTCGCAATATTACGTAGGTGAAAAAAGGCGGTCCTTGAAATTTGCTTAATGTGAAACATAAACGACATGTCCTGATCAAAGATAACTCCAAGATTCCTCACAGTGGTGCTGGAGGCCAGGGCGATGCCATCAAGGGAAACTATATCTTTAGATAATGCGTCACGGAGGTGCTTGGGCCCCAGAACAATGACTTCAGTTTTATCTGAGTTTAACATTAGAAAATTACAGGTCATCCAGGTTTTAACATCCTGAAGGCACATTTGAAGTTGAGCTAACTGATTAGTTTTATCTGGCTTGATCGATAGATATAACTGAGTATCCTCTGCATAACAATGAAAGCCCATGGAATATATCCTAATAATATTGCCTAAAGTAAGCATATATAAAGTGAAGAGGATTGGTCCGAGGACAGATCATTGTGGAACTCCATGACTAACTTTGGCATGCATGGAGGACTCATCGTTAACATGTACAATCTGATCTGATAAATAGGACTTAAACCAGCTTAGAGCAGTTCCTTTAATGCCAATGAAATGTTCCAGTCTCTGTAATAGGATCTGATGGTCAGTGGTGTCAAATGCAGCACTAAGATCTAATAAAACCAGTACAGAGACAAGTCCTTTGTCTGATGCAATAAGGAGGTCGTTAGTAATTTTCACCAGTGCTGTCTCTGTGCTATGATGAGCTCTAAATCCTGACTGAAAATCCTCAAATAAACTATTGCTCTGTAGAAAGTCACACAGCTGTTTAGCAACTGCTTTCTCCAGGATCTTAGAGAGAAATGGAAGGTTAGATAAAGGTCTATAGTTGGCTAAAACATCTGGATCAAGTTTGGGCTTTTTCAGAAGAAGTTTAATTACAGCTACTTTAAAGTACTGTGGTACATAGCCTGTTGATAGAGATAGAGTAATCATATCTAGTATAGAAGTGCTGACTAAGGGTAAAACATCTTTAAGCAGCCTAGTCGGGATGGGGTCTAAGAGGCAGGTTGATGGTTTAGATGAAGAAATTATTGAAGTTAGTTGGTAAAGATTGAGGGAAGCAATATACATATATCTGGTTCTACAGCTGTTTATAAGTTTCCTGAGTTAAGAGATAAGTCGGTGCCAGTTGACGGCAGGTCTTGGTGAATTTTGTTTTTAATAGTTAGAATTTTATCATTAAAGAAGCTCATGAAGTCGTAACTACTGAGAGCTATGGGAATACTTGGCTCAATAGAGCTGTGACTCTGTCAGCCTGGCTACAGTGCTGAAAAGAAACCTGGGGTTGTTCCTATTTTCCTCTATTAATGACGAGTAGTACGCTGCTCTGGCATTACGGAGGGCCTTCCTATAGTTTTAAGACTATCTTGCCAAATTAAATGATAATTTTCCAGTTTGGTGGAACACCAATTCCTCTCAAGTTTCCACGATATTTGCTTTAATTTGCGAGTTTCAGTATTATACCATGGAGCTAACTGTCTTTGTTTTAGTATTTTCTTTTTTAGAGGGGCTACAGAGTCGAGTGTCATTCGCAGCGAGCCTGCAGCACTATCAACAAGATGATCAATTTGGGAGGGACTGAAATTAGCATAGGAGTCCTCCGTTACTTGCTGACTTGATAATGTATTTAGAGCTGATGGAATCGCATCCTTAAATTTAGCTACAGCACTATCAGACAGACATCTTGTATAAAAAACTTTGCCCAATGGCGAGTAGTTCAGCAATACAAACTCAAAAGTTATCAAACAGTGGTCAGATAAAGAGGGATTCTGTGGGAACACTATTAAATGTTCAATTTCAATACCATACACCAGAACAAGGTCGAGGGTGTGGTTAAAACAGTGAGTCGGTTCATGAACATTCTGAGAGAAGCCAATAGAAACCAACAGAGAGATAAATGCAGCACTGAAGCTGTCATTCTCAACGTCCACATGAATATTAAAATCCCCTACAATAATAACTTTGTCCGTTTTAGCTGCAACTCCACCTCCTCGGCCTGTGCCTCGAGGAATGTGAGTATTAATATGACTGGGAGGGGTGAATTCATTTAGGCTAACATATTCTCCATCACCCAGCCAGGTTTCAGTAAGATGAAATAAATCAATATCATAATCTGATATTAGTTCATTTACTAGTACACCTTTAGAAGAGAGAGATCTGATGTTTAAGAGTCCACATTTAACTCTCCTATTCGTTTGCACTATTGCTCTTGTGGTTTTTATTTTTATGAGGTTTTTATGCACAGCTCCTCTTCTGTTTACCTTTTTAAATAATTTCGATGGTCGGGGGACAGACACCGTCACTATAGGATTTTCACTAAGTAACTCCTGAAATGGAGGAGCAGAGAAGTGTGTTAGACTGCGACTCTGCGTAGGGTTTTGGGTGGGTAACTGCTGAAAAAGAAGGGCAGAGAAGTGTGTTAAACTGCGACTCTGCCTCCTGGTCTCAACTCTGGGTTGTCATGGATTTGGTCCACTAATAAACTTGGCCAGATTTCTAGAAATGAGAGCTGCTCCTTCCCAAGTGGGATGGATGCTGTCTCTCCGAATCAGACCAGGTCTTCCCCAGAAAGTCTGCCAATGATCTACAAAGCCCACATCGTTTGCTGGACACCACCTCGACAACCAGCGGCGGAATGACGCCATGCGGCTATACATGTCGTCACTGGTCAGATTTGGCAGGGGTCCAGAGAAAACTACGGTGTCCGACATTGTTTTTGCATATGTACACACCGACTCAACATTAATCTTAGTGACCTCCGATTGGCGTAACCGGGAGTCATTACCGCCGACGTGAATAACAATCTTACTGTATTTACGTTTATCCTTAGCCTGCAGTTTCAAATAAGACTCATTGTCGCCTGCTCTGGCCCCAGGGATGCACTTAACTATGGCCGCTGGCTTCGCTAACTTCACGTTTCTCAAAATGGAGCTGCCAATGATCAGAGTTGGTTTCTCAGCGGGTGTGTCGCTGAGTGGGGAAAATCTGTTAGAAACGTGAACAGGTTGATGGCGCCCCGTGGACTTTGAATGCTTACGACTATTCCTCCTTCGGACAGTCACCCAGCCCACCCTTTCCTGGCTGCTCAGGAGATGCCGGGGGACGGCTACCACAGGCTAACTCAGGCCGTTCCGCACCGACTACCGGGGACTGGCTAGCTACAGTAGCTAAAGACTGATCTACCAAGGTGCGGAGCCGGACTTCTAAATCACTGAGCCTCGCCTCCATGTCTACAAATAAACTACACTTATTACACGTACTATTATCGCTAAAGGAGGCAGAGGAGTAACTGAACATCTGACACACCGAGCAGGAGAAAGTAGGAGAGCGAGAGGGAGAACGAGAAGCCATCGCTAGCTGCTGAGCTAATGTCGCTAACGGCTAAGCCAAAGTACTGTAGCGTCAGCTACCAAAATGTTTGAACAACTATGAGATTGAACAGCAGTCACTAAAAGATGGAAAGAACTGTGAGTGCTTAAGCAAATTACTGTAAAAATAAGTGTTTAGCGGACAGTTAGCCGCTATAATCTAACAAATTTAACTGGTATTTAGCGAGAGCAGCACAACACGCTACCAACACACAAGCACCGGAAACGGAAATGAGTCAACACGCTTGCCGCAGTACGTCAGCAACGTCTATCAACTATGCATAGAAACACGGGAACAGGCGTGCAGAAAAATGGCACCAGGTGCTCTGGTCTGATGACTCAAAATTTGAAATATTTTGCTGCAGCAGAAGGTGGGTTCTTCACCGAAGAGCTGGAGAGCAGAACAAGAGTGAGTGTCTGTAGGCTAGAGTGAAGCATGGTGGAGGGTCCTTGTAAGTTTGGGGCTTCCTCAATCCACAGAAGGACTGTGGGAAGTTCTCCAAGATGTTTGGGCCAACCTACCTGCCAAGTTCCTTAAACAACTATGTGCAAATGTACCTAGAAGAAATGATGCAGTTTAAATGCAAAAGGTGGTCACACCAAATATTGATTGATTTAGATTTTTCTTATGCTCACTCACTTTGCATTTTGTTAATTGATAAATATAGTCTATTAACATGTCATTGAAATAATTATTATTTTACAGCATTTTTTCACACTGGAGTAAGACTTTGGCACAGGACTCTCTATATACTGTATCATCTGTTATATATAAATAATAATATGAATGAATAATCATTTTAAATCAAGTCTTCCATCTCAATGTGTCTCTCTTCAGGTCGCGGAAAGAACCGAAGACAAAGCATCTTCTAGAGGTCACAGAGGAGCAGCAGAGACACGCAGAGAACAGAAGCTGCCTTTTCAGACCACAGCACAAAGGCCAACACAGCTCAGCACATTCACAAGCATGCTCACACATGAAGTGCACATACCTGCATGTACACACAAACTCATGCCCATGGCAGCTGACCATCATGCCCATGGCAGCTGACCATGGAGGCACACAGCGTTTCTGGAATGTGTACTGCACTTGAAATGATTGAGTTGAGACACACTTTCCCTCCACACACACATACAGTACACACATTTGTACAATCAGCAACACTGAACATGTTGTCATTACTTAGTTGCACACACCAGGGATTTCAACCCAAGAAAAAATGGGCTCCTAAATGAAACTGCTCTGCTCTGTTATAGTGTGCGCTTGTATAATTTCCATTCAGAGCACACCCAGAACTCTGACCATCTAAGGGAGCTACCACACCTGGAACCATCATGCGGATGCAGGTGTACAGAAGTTAGGGTTGTGGTGTGAGTAGAGGGCAGTTTAGTTTTAAGTTAAGTCTTATGAGGTCCGTTTCTTTACAGATTTTGCTAAATGTTTGTCTTACTGACATTTAGGCTTGTTTCTAAAACCAAGATGTAGCTTAGATACACTCTCTGATTTTGTTATAGCTTCCAGTGGCAACTCCGATTTGGGAAAGACCTCCCAGTCAACAGTGACAGGGCCGTAGCTAGGATTTAAAAAAATACTGAGGTCATAAATTCCCCAAATGCACCCCTCAGCACCTTCAAACAGTTATGAGGAGAAACAGCAGGTTTGTAAATTTAGTTTTTTCATATTTTATTTATTCAGTTAACTGTTAAGATGCACTTTGTCAGTTGTATTTCCAAGCATGAAAGTCCGTCATTAAATTATCTGAGAGAAATGTTAAAAATGTCATTTATGTATTATTATTATGGCCTACAAGTAGTCATATATAAACATACTGAATCAAAATATATTGGAATCAGCTTATAAAGCTTGCCAAAACTTCAAGACAAAAAAAGTAATGGTGGACAAGACTTTCAAATAACAAACTCAGGGTGTGTATCTTTCCAAAGAGTTAAAACGTTGAAACTATGTATTGTATATTATGACTAACTTATGTCTTGAGGTTGTACATATACAGCAGTACAGACATTGAAATTGTAGCAAGCCAGTAGCTCTTCTCACATGAAGCTAGCATTGAACCTATGTACCATAAAATCTGACTCCATCATGAAGATAAAACTCTAGTGTAAAATGGATTCACGCCGACAGAATTGCCTTGCCACAGTGTCCGTGTTTCAACTCAGTTTTGTTCAATACAGTGTTAACAGCTGATTTTCACTCCAGTTTTTCAAGTTGCCTTAGTAAAATGTGTGTGATACTTTGGGTTGTGAATAATATATATTTGATCTAGTGTAGCCAATGTGTTAGGAGGCATTTGCTTTGTGTGTGTAAATAACTCACTATGAGTAAGTATGTATTTCTTAGTCACCTATTTGCACAAACCAGAAGTGTCCTCTGAAGCCTGCTCCCTTCCCTTTGTGTCTTACATGGTCCCAAAATATGACTCCCATATTGTCACAAAACCCCTTAAACCTAGACCAGTAAACTGGGAAAGTATGTCCTATAGGTACTTTCTAGTAGCAAATTACTCTCAGTAGGACTGAAACTACCCCTAATATTTTGCACAGCTCTGTTGCATTGCTGTGGAGCAGCTTTTGACTGTAGGACCACAATAGGCAGTGTATAAAAGTACGTACAGTACAACTTTAGAAAGTATACATATCTGCAGATGTGAAAAATATGAATTTTCCTTATCTTATGTCCTCAAAGTTCAATTGTTACTGTGACTGATCCCAGAGTTTATGCTTATGCCCTAGAAGATGAAATGATCTGCAGACACAGATCAAGACAAGAGCTTGTGGCTAAGCTATGCTCTCTTCTGTCCTTAATCTGCCCTGACTCCATCTCCATCTTCTCCTTCCTTGTCCAGTGCTGCTGAGAACCAGCTGAAGTTTCCATGTAAGCCAATGGCGTTGAGGCCACATTAATAAATGGTGAGGTGTGATCAAGGTTGTCTGTTAAGTTAACGGTGCAATATACAAGAGAAACAAAAGGTCTGTGTGGAATACAATAGTGGTTCCTACTGCCATCATTCTTCCATTCACTAAGACTGCACTGTGCTTTCAGCAGCAGACATGAAGTATAGCTCCAAAAATGATGTTATGATGTATGTTGTTTTAAGCGTGACGGCTCTGCAAGTAGCCACGGCACTTGGTCATTTAAGCATTTGAAATAGTAGTATTCCAGTAGCTTGTAGGCCATGTTGACTCATAACTCTAAGGCTGTTTGTATGACTCTTGCGCTGGGCTCTGAAAACATGCATGCACTGGTTCAAACCTTCATAATAATGTAAACGCCTCCTGAAATTTGAAACATTGTATTCTGCATTGGTGCCAACTGTGCATGGCTCGTTGGAGCATCCCCAGCGCCCAGTACAGTCTCAGAGAGCAATGGTAAATGGTATGCACTTGTATATCGCTTTTCTAGTCTTCAGAAGGCACAAAGTACTTTACACTTCATTACATCCACCCATTAACACACATTCATACACTGATGGCAGAGGCTAAGGTGCTAACTGCTCATCAGAAACAAAAATTCACAGCAATTTGGGAGCAAAAACATTAGCAATTTAGGGTTCAGTATCTTGCCCAAGGACATGCAGAATGGGGGGAGCAGAGGATGGAATCACAGATATTCTGATAAGCCTGCGACCAACTTTACCTCCAGCCACAGCTGACCCAATAGCAATTCCCATACAGAGAGGAGCACAACTTAGTGAGGCTGGCAAGCGAGGAAGGCAAAACACACCAAGCATGCCACATTTGCCCAAAAGGAAAAAAATAGCAAGAACACACTCACACTCAAACCGAGAGTCACGGCAGGGGGGTCATGACAAACTCACACCAGTATATACACATTAATTGCTGCGGACAGTGCACACACAACCACAATGGAGATCATGAGCAGGGCCACGTTTCAGAAAACGGGATTAGTGAAAATATGTTGTTAAGCCTGAGATGAGGGAAACTCAGGGTTTTCTGTGCTGAGCTGAGGAAGCCTTTCGGACAAGAGGCAAAACGTCTTAAAGAAATCTACTGCAAGTCTGCAGCACTTTGATTTAGCACTTCTTGATGACTGGATCCACTGAACTGAACAGGTCGTCAAGTAAGAGCAAATAAATGACACCTTGAGACTGTTCGGGAACACAGAGGTAGAGAAGCTGACCAGTAACCAGAGACTTGTTGGTTTGACCCTCAAAAGTATTACTGTGTGTTTAGTTGTGGTAAATTAAGCTATTTTAAATACTATAATTATAAAGAAATAATATATGTATTTTAACAGATGTTTCATCTTTCTCAGTGAGTTTTATGCCATTACAAAATAGAGCACTGTATTTAAAATAAAGGAAAAAACCTGCAGACGATGTCTAAATGTTTTATAAAAGATATGTTTAGATTTTGTATATGATGTGATATTTTGTGTGATTTGTCTACACTGTTATAAAATGAGAAATTGAATGTACTGTGACTGACAACAGGAATAAAAATGATTGAACAACTGATTAATTATTGAATGAATAAACTATTGAAATTCTGTAACACACTACCTTGTTCATTGTCTTTTTTTCCAGCTACATTCACCGTAAAATACGACTGAGTTGATGTGATGTAGTTCTTACAGGATATAGTACCAGAATCAGGTTTATTGCCAAAGGTTTATTGCCAAATTGAATTTGCCTTTGGTGGACTGGTGTACAACAATTAAACATAATGAGAACATAATAAAAAGCAAGTACTGCCAAATTCAGGGATTGTAAAATATAACACAAAAACACACAGATATAGACAATACAGAAAATCTTGATGTATGCATTCATACATCACAGCAGTGTGAACAAGGTAGTTTGTTCAGGGGTCCTATAGCAGAAGGAAAAAAGCTCCTGCTGAAGCAAATGCTCTTTGATTGAGGGTCGATCAGTGTCACTTGCTGTTGTGAGTACTGGGCGTGTGATGGCTTTGTGGTACTTGTCTGAGAGGTTGAGTGTTGGCAGGCAAGATTTTGGAGGCAATATGAGTGATGCCGGTAAGTTTGTGTTGGAGATAGTTCACAGGGTAAAGAAGCAGGGGGAACAGTGCAGCAGGATGGGTTGAAATATACTTTTGTAAATCAACAACAGGAGGTGAGGGGCAACAGAGAGTGCTTGGAGTTTACAGGTGACATGGAGTCTTTGCTGAGATCATTTACAGATAGAATGATCAATACTGAAATGAGTCCACAATATTTGAAGTTGCTCACCTGTTGTGGCTTGTCATGTATGGCGGTTGAGTCCAGTGTGGGGTGTGTTTGATGTGTTAATGACTACTTCCTGTGTTTTGTCCACGTTCAGCTGCAGGTAGTTATCCATACACCATTGTGTGAAGTGAGAAAGAGAGTTTTGATGTAATGAGTTATTGTCTTTGTGTAGTTCAAGTATGGACATTTCATCAGAGTATTTGAGGTATATGGTGATGGGTGAAGGGCTGGTTCAGTCATTTGTGTAGGGGTGAGAGTTGTGTGTTGCAATGTGCTCTGATAAGTTGGAAGCCTGCCAGAAGAAAAGTCAGTCAGCTGAAGTCCTTCCAGCGTTCCAGTACAAAGTACAATAATGAACAGAAGATGGTGCTGTTGCTCTACTGTAGGTCAGTGCAGGATGTTATGTTCATTTTTTTAATAGATGCACAGTTGGGGACAGGGGCAGCAATATAAAATGTATAGCTGCACCACTAGCTGTAACATCATGATCCAATGTTTCTTTTGTGGACAGTGACTGCAGTGAGTGCAGTATTTTAATTTCAATTCATTTTAAATTTGACTTACTTTAATAATAAACAAACAAACATATGTTGTACATGTCCATAGCTTAAATCAACATAAGAACATTTTGAGCATTAATCACTTCATTTCCTGTATTCTAGGGACAATTTCTGTACCAATATCTGCCTTTTCTGCATCAATTTAGGTTGGAAGTGGGGGACTAGTTAGCTCACCACTAGAGCACATGTACAAAAGCTATGTTCTTACCACAGTGACCCAGGTTTGAGGCTGACCCGTAA